TCGCTACGAAACAAAGAGGCCTCTGTGGAGAGGAGAGGTGCCACCTCTCTCCTCATTGTAGGTCCTCACACTGCGACAAAGCGCGCAACGATGACACATCGCCAGTAACATTCTACGCAGCCTAGGTCACTCTAGCTCGTCATTCTACTCGTACCAAGAATCGGCCCGAATGCAGTGCAACGGACTTCTAGTAATCTGTACTCGTAGATACTCACCATAAAGATCAGTTTTCTTTAATCTTGTTGACCAGTAACTAGCCAGAACTGTGTGCGCTGACCCTAAATAAAAACATGTGGATTTAAAGAAAAAGGAACTGTAGGATCAAGAGGAATGGAGTGAGCACGTCTCCACGCTACAGCATTCTCGATTCCATTTGGAGAGCAAGGAGAGCGCAGTGGTGAGAGCAATCGCCTCCCACTAATGTGGCCTGGGTTCGAATCTCGGCGTCGAACCCGTTTATTGTTGATTCTCTCCTTTGCTCCGAGAAGTTTTTCTCCGGGTACTCCGGTTCCCCCATCTCCTTAAAAAGCAACACTTCCAAATTCCAATTCGATCTGGAACGCACGGACAGGTTTTAACGACTTCGTAAGAACTCCTAAGTGCTCCAACAACCGTGGGGAAACATTTAACAAACATTTTACAACTACGAATTACAATACCTCTTCGATTCAGCCTGTCCGCTGAAGTATTCAAAGGATCTGGAGTCGAGAATGCTGTCAAATTGTAAGCAGGTGAAACACGACGCAACGTAGAATTTTCCTGAACGCTTCTCAACTACCTTAGAAATTCCTCACATGTTAACGTAAATTTAGTCTACACTGAATTATTTTTTCGTAAAGCTAATCAATGGCGTTACGCCGATACCCGTTTCTGAATCGATCCAATTCGAACTCGATACTTACTAACATCCTTAATATGAGACAGACGTCGTTTTTCACGGCATTGTGTCCCGTCTCCAGTCTAACTGCCACTAGCGTAAGCCTAGTGCGATACCTGTGGCAAGAGGGCTATTTGACCCTTTACTAACCTGTAACTGGATCCTCAGGGACACCACGCCATGGAGCGAAATATCGTGAAATGAAGTCGTAGACTTCTCCAGTTGTGTCCACACAGCCATTTGCCTCAGTCCCCTGAAGTGTTACAATTACCCCGCGGACAATCCCCGCCGAGTGGGCTGACGTCATTGCTTGGAAGTCAGGGCAGAAACTTTCTAAATCGTTCCTGCATAAAAAAATAAAAAAACTTAACAAGTACTGTTCACGTTAGAGTCCAAGCCCCGGTTGTTCAAACGTAGGAAAGTACTATCCACCGAATAAATCACTTTCCAAAGGATAAATGCTAGGGACACCAATTGCGTCATCCTCTGGACAGAGATTTATTTAGCTGATAGCGTTATCCACCTTTTATTAAACTCGGCCCGAGGAATCTCCGATTATTTCTGCTCATTTGTCAACACTTTCAGAAATGTTCTGCACTTCGTATCGCTTTTATCTGTCCAACTGGAGTGCTCGGTAGTTTCGTTCCCACAGTCCTTGCTGAATAAAACCAATCTAACAATTTTCTAACCTTGTCAAAGAAGGTTGCAGACACAGCAAAAGGTTGTTGGTCGTATTATTGTATTCCACTTCCTTTACTGCGAGGTCTCCCACAACTAAAATGAAATATAACGAAAGACAGGAAGTTATTTACCCTGCTAGCAGAGTCGCTTTGATCTTTCCTAAGAACGAAGGAGACTCTGTTCGCAGGGTAGAAATTACTTAGCATGTGAACAAGTCGAGATGCGGAGGCCCAGCTTGCAGAGAATTAAATATTCTCGCAATATCGGATTCGGGGAAGGATTTCATCTCAACAGCGTAAAATGAAACAGGAGTAGAGGAAAACAACGACACACGATAGAATTGCACCCACAGACTTAAAAGTTGAAACCACCTTGTACATCATAATAAACAGTACCACCGGAAAGTACTGCTCAGTAGCTTTTACATACATGGTCAAACTTAAAGATTTCCTCAATAGAACCTTCCACGATCTCCACAAAGTCGCGATTTGTATGCTCCCCGACGTCTGTAAAATTCCGCCACTTTGTGGAGCTATAGTTTCCACTAGGAACAAATCACTTTGAAACACGGCAATGTTGGTGATTTCAAAGCCTTCTTTCCGGCCGTGTTGACAGATTTTCGGTAACTGGTTCCAGTTAAAAAACAAGTCGAAAAAAACCGTGTATAGGGTCTTTTGCACTAACACATTTTGTGCATTTGACAGCTTAATACAACAGCAGCTTTCTTGTTGCGAGAGATATAGCTTTTGGGACACTTAAACATGAAATCAAGGAAACTCAAAAACAAACAAAAGAAGGCGTTGATGCCTCAAAACACACCTGCTCTAATAAGTTTTGTAATTGATGGATCTTCCTAAGAAAAATATGAAACATATATCGTGGAATAAGACATCAATTCTAACACTTTCATGCCTAACATATCTTTCACGGTTAGAGGGAAATTGTCGAGGAAATTCTCCATGTTTCAGTGTATTTAGTGTGTTTTCAAGTTATTGTAACTATGGTAGAATTATATAGATGGAGCAGTATATGTGGTAAACAACCTTTTACTTGGTGTGAGCAGACTATAGTACATCGTTCGAGTAATTATTCACAAATACAGAGGTTACATAAAATAAGCATCACGTTTACGTCAAACAGTAAACGCGAATTTGTACCACGTGACCAAGTTCTCCTTTACTTGTCGTTTACTGTTCATTACTTCTACACATAAAAAAGTAGTTTCACGTTATTTCTAATCCATAAGAATTTTTTGAGCTGTTTTTATCTGCTCATTTTCTAGTTTGAGAAATCCGCAACTTCAATCTGACGTTTGCCGTTTGCAGTATACGTGAAGTTTCAACTCTCTAATAGCTCAGTCAAAGCTGAAAACTTCGAAGTTCATCAGATACGCAAGGAAGGCAAATTTTCGTAAGAAATTTCGGCTTCCCCCTAGAGTTTACCTTTCCCATTCTCCACATCTCGCTTCTTTAAATTTTCTTTGCTCGTTTCTTTTTTCCCTTTTGCTGGACATTTCCGAGGCTTCGTTTTGGCGGGAAACGTTCTCGGGAAAACCCGGTGAATCGTAAAATTATTTTGCATGAAGTAAAGGAGAGTTGTGAGACAAGATTTTCGTTTGAATTTTCGGTTAGCGTTTCAGGATTTTTTACGTTTTTACGTTTTACGGGCTGTTTGACTGAATTGTCTCTGGGAATAGTTTGAGAGATCTCCAAGGAGTCAAAGTTGCCCGTGATTGTTAAGTTGTTACAAGTGGTAAAAGGGACGTGGTTCCACGCAGGCAGTAATGGGTGATTGAGGAGTGTTAACAAAAGAGTCATTTTTGTCAAAACATCTAAATTGCCTGAACCCATTTATCTACAGCTCAAGTCTGTCTTTGGTAGAGAACGTAATCTGCAAATGGACATCAGAGAAGAATGCCACAGCCTCACTTTCATGCGGTAAATAAATTGTCAAATAGGCACGCATTACGTGCAAAAGAGATTATGTTATCTCGGAACAATGTTCTTCCACAACAGTAGCTAGCCTATTGGAGGAAGAGGAGCTGCCCCTAACCATGAGACCCCTTATTGTTAAAAAAGCTCTTTGAGGCAAAGAATTATTATTTAATTTCCACATAACATCATCTTACCCCAGACAGCGGCCATGGTTCACAAGGGTTGAGTGGAAAATCTAAGCATATTGACGAACCTAATACAAATATACAAAAATAATAGAATCTTAAGGCGCTTTCCATCTGTCAGAACTGAACAGCCAGGTCATTCCTGTCGTAAGGAGAATTTCACTCTAAATCAAAACTATCCAGCTAGATCAGTCAGGTCCTGAGCACTATCTACGAAGAAGATGGATTTTCAGCGAAAACCCTTTGGACAAAGGCTACTTCATTCAGGTCAAAATGACTGGTCCGGCCAAGGTCCGGCCAGCCAGTTCTTACTCTTGGAAAGCGCCCTTAGTATGGTCAGTGTCATTTACCACTGAGTAAATTGCAAGTTTCTTTACCATAATGTATTTATTGTGTTTCAATTTTATCCTTGGTTAAAATGTCATTATTATACTTTACCACGCCTAAGACCAAAGAAAGATAACATGAATAAAATTAAGCGCTATATATACAACAACATTTACCAGCAGCTGCATATAACTATTTTGCAAGGCAGTGATTCATGATGGGCAATATCCTATACAGGAGGCTCTTCACAACTTAAAAGTTTATCAACAGGTAGGGAAATCTGTCATTTCAGTCCGCAAAAAGGCTTAAAACGTCTAACAGATGCCTTCTATGGCTGTGACAAAGTCAAGAAAATGTTCTGGCTTTGTGATTTATTCATACTTGAAAGACAGTGCAGTTACAGCAGTAACAGGGAGCAAGGGATGGCGCAGTGGTGAAAATGCTCGCCAGTGTGGCCTGCGCTCAAATCCCGACATCGATGCCATATGTGGGTTGAGTTTGTTGTTGGTTCTCTCCTTTGCTCCGAGAGGTTTTTCTCCGGCTAATCCGGTTTTCCCCTCTCCTCAAAAACCAACATTTCCAAATTCCAATTCGACTGGGAATCAGGTAGACAAAGAACCACTTTGTGGATGTGCTACCTCCAAATCATTATTCATTATTTATTTAAAAGAGATGCATACAGGTTCTTAACTAGGTATGTGAAAAGGATACCATTTTGTCAATAAAAGGTATTCAAAACCAGTACCTTTCCTGTCAAAAATGGTATGTGAAAGGGTAAGGGGTTGGACTGCAGGGCAGAGCCATGAGAACTAAATTAATTTTACCTAACAAAAGACATAGTGTACCTTCTTTCCTAGCTTTTAAATTTCCACTCAACGTTTCAAAGGTAACTTCTTTGTTGGGATTACCTGAAGTAACCCAAAATGCATTAAATTAAACAACATTTATTTGGCCTCATGTTCTGAAAATAAAAATTTTCTAATACAAAATTTAATGCTGGCAGCACGGTGCTCTATTCAGACCTTACAACATATCCACTTCCTGAGCACCAAAAGAAACCTTGGAACTGAGACCAGAACCTTACATTTTTCAGTAAAAACCTGGAGACAGCTAGAAATATTACAACTAATGATAATCTGATTTCATGGCATTTAACTGCCTTACGACAAAGAAACATGGATTTATCAACAACAAATTTGTGCAGTATGGCACAAGACAATCAGTCCCCTACGAGCCAAAACTAAAATAGTTTTACAATAGACTTTTAGTTTTGGCTTGTGAATATATAAAGCCATTTCTATGAGCTATTTCAACTGATTACAAAAGAAGATTGTTTTCAAAGCCTCAAGGTCTCAAGAGGGAAAAAAATAATTTGGAAGGGAAGAACTGGCAGATTTACAGTATATATTCACTCACCTAAGCAGTTGAACAAAACTGCAGCTGATGCCAGCGTTGCATGTCCACACAGTGGAACTTCACATGTTGGAGTGAACCATCGCAGACCAAAACAAGTACCTATCAAAATATTGTACCATATTCAGCCCCCAGAGACATCTGCCTTGCAAGGCAACTATATCAGAAGCACCCATCACGGTCAAAAGTAATGCACAAGCTCCATGGTCCTTAAACCTGAGGAACTTTTTTTTTAAAGGCATGGTTCTGTACTGGCATAACACTATGTTTTGATCATCCTGAGCAACATGATCATCCCCAAAACTGTCAAGACAATCAAGATGATCTGGATTTGATTTCACGTATAAAACATGATGATTTCCCAAAAGAATAAGAAGCCTGCAAGGGCACCAACAAAAGTTTTGGATCAGCTTGAATAACAGGCATTTTAAAACTGCAGGTTACACAGCAGGAGTCAGCCAGGCGTACATGTGGGTTGATAATATTTGAGTCTTGAACACTCTGCTCTTAAACCTTGTTCCTGGTTGTTGGCTAAATAATTTTTTTGCAGAAAATGATGCTAGATGAAAACCAGTTGTTGACTCTCAGCCATCCAATTTTAATACCAATTAACAATTGAATGGTACTTCTAGTTGGCTTACTTTGACTGTAAGTATCTTGACTGTTTTTCTCCAGAATGAAGCCAGTATCTGACAAGTTCATTTCCTGTGCAATCTTTTGTAACATTTGATCACTTAGGTGCTATGACAGGAAAGGGATAAATCAAAGTTTTATTGAAGTGTTACGACTAAAAGACCAAATAAAATCTTGCTCTTCATTCAGAAAATATGACTGTTCTTGGATAATGCCTACACATTATCTTTGCACTGTATAGTTTTTTGGACTTGTAGTCATAGTGTTAATGTCTTTTTGCCACTGTCAGTGGAAACCAATGCATCGTCAATCCCAGCACTTGGGTAGTGCAGGTCCCAGTTTGTTCAAAAGGTGGATAGAGCTATCTAACAAATTTCTATCCAGTGGATATAGTAATATTGGTTTCCATAATACTTAGCTGTTGGATAGTGATTTATCTGGTGGATAACAGCATCCAGCGTTTGAACAACCGCATCCTAGGTCAATAGCCTTTTTCAGGTTCTTTTTTCAACTTTTGACATAGAAAAGTTTGGGAAAATCTGTCAACACCACTGAAAAGAGCGTTATATAAAATTTCACAGATGTTTGTATGGTGGTGGGCACAAACTTGCGGAGCTATATCTTGGCTCACTTAAGATGTATCACTTTCAAATTTGGCAACTTTACTAATTTTAAGGCGCTCTTTTCAGTGGTGTTGACAGATTTTTTGCGAACTTTTCCATATAAAAAGTTGAAAAAACTGTGAAAAGGTCTATAGTGAGGCATTTTGCCAAACTGATTCAAAATGGTATCCTTTAATCTTTTAGGGTTCAAACAAAGCATGAGATGCCCAGATTCCCAATAGAGGTTTAGTTTAAATTTCCTAATTATAAGCATTTGCGCCCCCATTCACCTACTCCCCCTTCCCCAACTACCACCACAACTCCTTTCAGACTCTTAAAAAAAAACCTGGGCAGGGACAAAAATGGGGTCTGGATGCAAGAAATAGACCCAAACAGCAGGGAATTTGCTTCATTTAGAAGGCAGCCCCGGTCTAATGCTCCCCACCATGCCCCCAAGTGTCCGTGGGTATAGGGGTGCAGAGCTTTCTATTGACGAGCGTATATAAATTAATTTATATCAGGGGCGGATCTAGGGGGAGGGTGCAGGGGGTGCGCACCCCCGCTGAGATGACCTGCAGTTTTCTAATACAACTGGTATTCTGCAAAAAAGAAAAAAAGTATGTGGTTTATTGGTGTTGAAGTAGAGCAAGAGACGAGTGCACCCCCTCCTAAAAAAAATCCTGAATCCGCCCCTGTATATGAGCAGTAAAAGACACTCTATTTAATTTTTCTGTTTCTGTTTCTTACTAGAAAGCCAACCGTTAGAATTCAGACCGTTCAAATTATCGCAAACATCAGCGTCAACTTAACAAGACCGAAGGTTCTTTATCTCAATACGCGAAGCAACTGTTACCGCCTGCCAAACCTGAGACAAGATTTAGCCGCCCTCCAGCCTCCCTCACATTCTCTAACTCAAAAGACTAAAACTCACCTTTGATCCTACAAGACAAACCGCAGCTGGATTTCCACTGAAAGGCTTACTTGTAAAAGCATCGATAACAAATAATGAAAGAACTCTTTTTTCGTCCGCCATCTTGTCCTTGATCTTTACCCTTTCGTTACCAGTGCGCGAGCGGGCGAAAAAGTGTACTGAGACTAGCAGGCGCTCCGGCGCTCATTTGGAACAGCCTTCTCGGCGGGTGCAAAAACGGGCTGGGAGATACTGGATGAATTTTCTCTGCACATGGGTAATAAACAAATGTAATGGTTATGAAGCCCGTCAGATGTCTTTGTCACGTGGTTTTGTTACCTCAAGAGGCAAGAACGTAAATTGCGATCAGGCGTTGTGTTTTTTTTTTTTCTGGAGAAAAAATGTCGGCGAACGCCATACTAAGAGCAAGGGAAGAAGGACGCGTGATCGCACTGGGGGGTACCTATACCTCGGCTCCTGGTCATGCTCAGTCGCTATTTTGGACTTGACTGAGCAAAACGTTCATTCAATGGCATCAGTCTATTTCTTTACCTTACTGACCAATGGAATGAACGTTGTACCGGTCCGCAAAAACCCTCAAAACTATGGTCCAGGTAAGTGCTTCAAAATTCGAGAGGAAAATTAACGACCATGAAATCGCGCGTGATAGTGCACAAACTATTGCCCCCTGAAGGTGATTTTTTTCCTTTTTACAGCTAAAGAAACGAATAAACTACTAATGGAAGAAAAATTCGCTTTATTTTGAAATGCATACTGAATATTTTCGGTCCACCTCTATTAAATAGGCTGTTTACATTAATACCTTGTTCTTTGCCTCAGTTGTGTATTAAATATTTCAAATGCATATTTACCTGCGTGCAAATTCTCCGGGGCGGTCTGGCGGCGGGGCGAAAAAGGAGGCATTCGCCCCACCGCCAGAGAGCTTTCTTCCAGGCTACATCTATATTTCAGTGTCACGTATTTTATTTAGAATGCACGACCCTACAAGCTTTTTAAAATAAAGGTTTTATGTTATCACGTATGTTACATAGTTGACGCTTGAACTGCCTGTGGAACAACATCGTAAAAAAGGCGAGTATGCGTTCTCTGTTAACGTGGAAAGCAATAATACTTCCAGTTATGAACTCAACATGAAGGCCAACAATTTGTTTACGTCCGTTTACAGGGCATTTATGCCGATGATAGCTATCTCGAAGCAGGTAACCTTTAATAAAAAGCAGATCCCGCATTGCAACAGACAGAGATTGAGTTTCTTTCAAGCCACTCTGACCAAGGTTGAATTTCCGCAACGTTTTTCATTTGCCTTTTGTAGCAGAGCAACTTTAATTTGCCTCACAACGTAAACAGCGTAACAAATAATTTTCCTCGCACGACAAGACAATAAGGTCTCAAGTCACAAGTACAAACTTCCTTGTAAAACGAGCACCGCTTGTCCTGCGATGTCGACCCTGTCGTCTTCGCGCACCTGAATAGAAAGTTCCCCTCCACGCGGAGAACACTGCAGTGCTGTAACGGAAAAAAATAAAATAAAATAAACAGTATGGGTCGGTTATTTAAAAGAAGTCTAACTTAGGTCGCTGTTTCAGAAATTATTGGATTTCCAGATCTCTTCCTAGGTGGATAATTATAAGAAGCTTAATGTTTCTCCAGTCAACCTTGGTCAGGGGAACCCATCGAGAATATAGTTCAAAACCACTTAAACATAGCATTGTTGAACGTATTTTAGTATTTAAACGGTAGATATAGGCATATTTTTATCCCCTAAAAATTTTTCATCTGTTCGGATTTCCTAGCTGAAAGTCTAGTGATCCGAAAATTATAGGGATCAAAACTTACCTTTTCGAAAACTTCAGCCCGGAAAAATGGCTCCCGAAAATACTAGGTGACCTTTTTACGGTAAAAATCCGTTAAAAGTGGGCAATTGTACCATTTTTGGTAGGTTCGAAAATCCTACAGGCAGGCACTCCAAGCAAGAAATTTAACAACAAATGTTCCGAAAATTCTATACCTCAAATCGTCTCCCGAACAGATATTTTCCAAAAATTGTGGTTGGGTGCCCCTGCTTGGTGCTTCAATGAAACTTCAGTCACGTCCAATACTGTCGACATGACGTGACGAGTGGAAAAATACTTTTCACAACTTGTACGAGCGGACAAATTGCAGATACTTCATATTCATGAGACCTGACTTACAGTTTCTGTAGGTTCCCCTTTTTTGTCGTGTTGGGTATAGCCATGGGGGATCTGGATACTGAATTTAAGAAAGGCTGGGGTCGCTGTAATGGGCGCCTAACTTACCATATAAATCATTCTTTTGTAGCCTTGACGACCAATAACTAGCAAGGACCGTGTGCGCAGACCCTAAATAAAATACAGAAATATTATCGCACGTTAATTCCCTTATACTACTACATGAGAAATTTCTGCAATCTGATTGGCTTAGAGCAGTGGTATTTCAGCTTAATTTGAAATACCTACAGTAGTATAAACAAATAACAGTATGATTTGTACGTGATATTTGGCATAAATACCACTCGTGATATTTCAAAATTGTCTCAAATTTCACTCGCCTAACGGCTCGTGAAATTACGTATAACAATTTCGAAATATCACTCGTGGTATTTATGCCAAATATCACTACAAATCATGCTATTACCTATACATATTAATGCCCAAGTATGACAGCAGTTAAAATTTAAGCTAAAAGCCATCTACGAATGCTAAAATAACGTAAACTGCCGCTGACAAGCCCTCGGCTTAGACATCTTCGTAATGGGGTTTATAAACGGTGGGGTTTATATCCCAGGGATATAGCCGGAAAAGAAGAAGCACTTGGAAACAAGACTTAGCAGTGCTGTTCAAAAATACCTCTTGCATTAACTGGTTTTTAATTAAGCATTAAAACGACATGATAAATCAAACTCCTCTCATTTCTCGTCATTTGGAGGGGAAAGGGCTGGAAAGTCGGCCGATGGAGTCCATCAGTTTACTGTGTTGGACAACTCTCGGGCTTGTGTTTATAAGCGGCAGTTTACAGTAGGTTAAATCCACCTCAATCCCACGCTAAATAAATTCCGCTTTGGAAAAGTGCTACCGTGAACGGCAGCAATTTGAGCCTTGGGCTTTGTTTTCTTTGGACATGAAACTTTGTCCCACGCTAATTTTCACAGAAAGGAGTAAGGCCTCTACTTATGGGTCTTTAAAAGGAACGACACGATCTGTCAAAAGATACGGCTGGGGACTTACATCTCACCGGAAGGAGGTATTAGACATGTCGAGTTCTGGACAAAGTTGCTTTCCAAATCACAATACTAAAACAATGAAGGCTAAGAAAGATAGCGTGGGCGGCCTGTAACTCTAGTTCACTAACCTGTTACTGGATCCTCAGGAATACCAACCCAAGGCGCAAAGTATCGTGAAACAAAGTCGTACACTGCTCCATTATTGTCGACGCAACCATTTGACTCATTCCCCTGAAGAGTTACAATTACACCACGGACAAGCCCACCCGAGTGAGCTGACATCATTGCCTGGAAGTCTGGAGAGAGCTTTTCTAAGTCGTGCCTGATTAAAAGAACAGTCTTAACATCAAGAAAATATAACGATAAAGGAGGTCACGTGAAACAGCTTTTACCCATGCTTCTTTTGCCTGCACACTGAATTCCGCTTGTCAAACCTACAGTCAAAGCTGTCTCAAGCGGTCATCCTTGCGAAAAGACCAACTGACCGCTTAAACGTGATGTTACACGGGACGATTCGCAAAGACGATTTTTAGAGCCGTACTCTGTACAGTGAGAGGTTGCCGAAGGATCGATGGGTGACGGATATTTGCGCCTGGAATCATTTTCGAGTTTCATGTTTAGATACTAGTATAAAATTTCTGTTGTTAAATTAGTAATTAGGATTAACACAGGTTGACACGGGTATAAACCAGGTCTGAAAGAGAGATGTTGATGAGAGGGTGTATCCAACACAAACTTGACGAATCAACTTCAAAGGGTTTTTCCTATCTCTTTGTGGGCTCAAAAAAGAAATTAGAAGCCAACACACAAATGTCAGATGTGTGTTAGAGCATTAGAAAGGTCCCTCCCAACAAACAGATCGTTTAATAGAGATGAGGGAGATAGAAGAAACTCGACAGGACCTGAGGAAAGGTAGCTACGGTAAAATGATTGAGATTATAGATCGTTTAAACAAGACGTCACGGCGTCCAGAACGTTGAAACGACGACCAACACGGTTAAATTGCTCATGGAAATTCTTAATGATGAATAATACTTGTTGCTGCTTCAGCCTGACCTTGTCAAGGAAGTTTGCAAACATAGCAGGAGTTTCTTGGTTGTTTTGGAGTATTCTACTTCCTTTACCGCAAGTTCCCCTACAACTAAATATAAAAAGGAGAAAAATGAAAAGAAATATAGCGTTAGCAAAGTGGGGTAGAAGTTAAGAGCAGAAAAAACTATACAAAACTGCACGGTGTAAATTTTGCTTAGTTGTTTTCATGTGAATACAAGTAACGACTTCTTGTAGCTTCTTGGTGTTGCGTACGGTTGACCCCGACTTCTTGACTTCCTCAACAGATTATAAGTACGGTATAGTAAACAGCTGACAGGAGAGTGGAACTCCAACTATTTTAGATTAACGGTGGCAGCAAAAGATTTAAACAACCTTGCACAGCAAAAGGAACCTCAGTATCTTTCAATTGCATAGTCACATTTTAGAACTACATTTACATACTCAAAAGTTTGAACTACCTTGTACAACATGATTACAAGTTCATGTCATAGATAAAAGATTTGCTTAATATCTGGGTTAACACCGGTTCAGTGTTGTGGAACTGTTTAAGGTGGACGAATTCTGTCCCAGTTTCCCGCAAAAGCTCGTAACAGCCAATAAATGAAGAAATAGTATCCCCAAAACATTCCCACAGTGCTGTCTGACACAACAACAACCCAGTCTGATGTCGGCCATAAAATGTCCAATTTATGACTGATGAGGAATACCTGTTTTAATCAATCTTGAGATGGTTTGGTCCTCCTGTTAAAAAAGAAAACAGAAACGGTATACCCTTGATCACTACCGGTAGTACGCATCCATAAGCACACTTTTCGTCATCTTCTAGAAATGTTTGCTGTAGGTGACCCCGTTTCAGATGTTTGAGAGGTGTTTGAGTTTACCAGGTTTCTCCACCATAAACGCTTTAGCAGATTATTCTAGTCTGCACAGGCAGCCCAAGGGGCAAAGTCTCCCTTAAGTGACATGTGATAGAGTTTGCGGTAACCGATCTTATGGAAGTGTCCCACGCGGGCCGTTCTTTCTTCCTGATTTCATTCCGGCCCTTAAAGAAGCTTAAAGTAATCTCCCCGGAATTTACGACATTACGGCATTGGAGTTACCAGTGTTATGGCGAAGTTACGGTTATGGATGTACGTTCATCTCCGCAAACCAAGCGTGCAGAGGAAGCATTATTCTTCCGCGTTTTCCAGGCGAGCAACTGCAGTCATGAAGGCTCCTTAACACCCCAGTTTAAAAGAACAAGAAAGGTATCTGTTTAAGTGACTCGGAAGCTTGTAATTGACTTAGTTATTGCAACTATTAAGTACAGTAAGTGTACCCAGCTTCCGATAAGCACCCCTCCTAAAACTAAAAACTACGAGGTAAGCGTTCCTAACAATAAGTGTCCTACCTGTCACGCCCAAGAAAGAACCAATTATGATACTGATCATGTATAAGGAGCAAAGTAAATTGCGCAGCCTTTTGACAACATTGCTTGAAAGTGGCAAAACAGAAGCTAACTGGACTTATCCTAGGCTGTATCACTATGAAATTGTTCGACACACGCAAATTTGTGTTTCTACAAGATAGACTAAGAGTAGTCCCCCATTTTTCTTCATGGATAGTAGAGCGAGCGAAGCGTGACCGCGCGTGAAAATCACCCCACGCGAGAAAGGCGAGACGCGAGGCATGTCGCTTTGTCTCACATGGGGTGATTTTCACGCACGCTCGGGTTTCACTTGCTCTACTATCCCTTAGGACAAATGGGGGACTATTCATAGTCTTCTACAAGACGATGTGCTCCCTTTTTGCTATTTAACATTTTTTTCAGTTCACGTGAAACTAATTAAAAACAATATGATACGGAGATTGAAATTTGAGTTATATCAGTTTACCTTAGAAAGTGGTTCAGAAGGATTTAATGGAAGATCCATGCATATTGATGAACCTAGAAAGAAAACAAAAAAGAATATCATATCTGCTTAAGTGATCATGTCATAATGTTTGGTGCACTTTCCTTTCAGACTTACCTTGTTTTCTGGCCATTAAATTTCCACTCAAAGTTTCAAATGTTATTTCTGTATTGGCGTTACCTAAATGAAAAACATGAAATGGAAACAGCATTTCTCCCACTTTAAAAAAATAGTCACATTGTTCGCAAGTGTTGACAAAGTGCTAAAAAGAGGTAAGGATACTCTGCAAATGCAAAAAAAAAAAAAAAAAAAACTAGATAAGACTGACAAAGTAACATTTTAATAGCTGGCTAAGGAAATGGTAGCTTTATTTACAAGAACAAGACCTGGGCTGAGTTTTTCAAAAGAGGATAACGCTATCCTATCCAGTGGATAAATCTCTATCCATTGAATATATGTAGTGTTATAGGTTTCCGTAATACTTCCGCTAGATAGTGATTTATGCAGTGGATAGCAACATCCAACATTTGAGCAACTGGGGCCTCGTGTTAATTGCATTTATTTTAGGGGAGATTGTGCTTCTTTCAAGGCAGTGAACCTGTGATACCTATTGAAGTAAATATGATAATAAAGAAAGTCTCACTGGATTTAATTTACCATACACTCACCCAAAACATTGAACAAAACTGCAGCTGATGCCAGTGTTGCATGTCCACACAGTGGAACTTCACATGTTGGAGTGAACCAGCGCAGACCAAAACAAGAACCTGAACAAAAATTGTACCATCATTATATGCATTCGGTTACCAAAGTTATGCATTACCTGAAGTTTACATGTACAGAAAATCTCCCGGATTATCAGGGAATCTCCTAGATATAGCACAAATCTCCTGGTCTCTCATATGTGTCACCAAATCTCCTGGTTAACATTGACGTCTGAACTTTTCTGTGCCTTAGTTTGGAATTTAGCCCATTTGTCCTACCTCATGGTGCTTCTAAGGTAGTTCTTGAGTTGTCTGAGAGCAGAAAATGTGCACTCTGAAGTCACCGGTGTCACAGGTAATGTCGAGTACACCCGTAAAAGTGTTTTTTGGCACCAAAAGGCGAGGGGGCTACAGCTCCCCCTGCTCCACCAACTATATGTATGTAATGGGTGGGGGCTTTAGTCACTCAAATCTTCCACAAGGGAAGGGAGGAATGCAACAAGAGGCTCTAGATTTTAGATCTTTAGACCAAGGCATCACAGCCTGCGTTTGTCCTTGACAGCCATTCCCACTATATGCCTCTAGTTGAAGGCTAGTTGAAACAAAAGAACAACATGCACATGGAGAATTTGTATCTTGATCTCAGAGATTAATGGGTTAAATAAACACACTTGCAGCAACGTTCTGACCTTTGTCGTATGTATCTTGGTCATTTTTCTCCAGGACGAAGGCCGTTTCGGACAAGTTCATTTCTTTGGCAATCTTTTGTAATATTTCATCATCTAGTTGCTGCACAAGGGAATCATTAAGATCTATTAAAATAGTACATTGAGGATCATGTGCATGACTAATTTACTAGTAGGTAGAGCAAAAGAGAAATTTACGCACAACCTATTAATTATGAAACTCACAATTTTCTTTCGCATCCAATTTGAAACTCATGAACCTTTCACGCCGCGCCACAACGCCGTAAGTTTAAGCTTCCAGTTTTAAACAAGCCAACCCGGCTTACAAAGTGAATTCTGAACATGACTAAAGATAACTCACTTTTGATCCCACGAGGCAAACTGCGGCTGGATTTCCACAAAAAGGCTTACTTGTAAAAGCATCAATCACAAACATTCGAAAAACTCTCTCTTCGTCCGCCATGTTGACTTGTAGTCATCACCAGGCTTCTGCTCGGCCGATACAGACTGAGTGCGAACAAGCGGGGATGGGTGACGGGTTCATGAAAGTTAGTGGCCGCACACAACACTGACTTCCAGAGGTTAATTTTTTCTTATCTATACTGATAGTTCGCGGCGAAGCCACGACACGGCAGCGAGGCACGAAGCGGGAGCTTTCTCAAACCGTGAGCACGGTTTATTTCATCTTATGCATTTCGAGAACGGAACTCTAGAGCCAGGGTAGCAACACACGTGATCTGTTTAGTTAATAATTCCGCCTGCAAACGGCAAGCCATCTCTCTCACTTTTCTTTATTATTTTTTTTCCATCATAATAAGTGGGACAGTATAAACGTGCGCGGCAACAGGCAAGTGGCCGAGAACGGAACTGGGGGGCTACTTGTTGTAACGACTAGCGGTGACTGGCGATTCTCATAAACATCGTTTCGCTGACATCGCGCTCGCCTTTATTGTCTTGACAAAAAAAACGAGCGCTGAACTTGTATGTACCTCGTTCCTTCAGCCATGACAAGAAAACGTCAGATAACTATGTGAGACGTTGACGAACAGGACTTTGACGAGTCAGCAGACATTTCTGGCAATGTGAGAGTCATTGAACAGCTTGCCTGGTGTCAAAGGCAAGAACTTTGCAAACGTTAAGTAAGATTAAGCTTATTGAGGAAGCTTAAGGATAATACTTCAAAGCCAAGGCCGAATTATCTATTTTTTTGACATGTTTCTTTCAAGAAGACGAAGCTACAGAAAATATTTCGACCAGCAGCGAAATGCACTTGTGCCCCCCATAGAAGGACTACGAGACTCACAGGTAAGCCTTTCCAAACATGGTTCGTAACAAACGGATATTGCGTCAAGTGCTGGTCTCTCGCCAATTCAAAAACGGCTACAGTATGATTAGTCTTTTTTAAATACTCTTTTTTGCCCTCCGTGTCTGAACTTTCTGCTTCATGGTCAAAAACTCCGTTAAAAAAGTCTCCCTAGGCTCTTGTTGAGAGTAGTGATGCCGTACAACTCGTAAGCCTGCGTAGTAGCCGGACCTGCCACTCGACACCTAGATAAGGAACTAGAAATAGTCTGTATCAGGGATTTAGACGGTGGTCTACAACGCAGGCCATACAGCTCGATACATCGTTTTTTAATATGAAAAAAAGATATAATTTGAAGAAACTTCTGTCCAGCGGGTCTGAGAAGTACTTATTGCTAAAAACTTCTCCCACAAAGATAAAAAATAATTGTTTTGAGTAACGCGTTGTTGCTGATTGCTGGCACGTGAGCACTGCCTGAAAATGCATAGTAAAAGGAAGAGCTTATTGCAAAAGTAAAGATTAATACGGTTACTATCTTTACGAAAAAAATCATATTAATCATTTTCCACCGCAAAGTAGTTTGTTTTGGTCTGTCTTTTTTTATATAAAATAATAACGTAAAGAAATCAAAAAGCTGAATTTTATTTATTTATTTTTTGCATTCTCAAACAAGCATCTTTAAGCTTAACTTTACCAGTCCAGTAAAACAACTAAGAATTGTTTTGCTTGACTCAATTTTAAGTAAGGTTACTAAGATATCTGCGCACTACCCTTCCGACCAATCAAAAAAAGCAT